TGAGCATGTGGAGGAAGTCTTCGCCGGGTGGACTGTGGCAAAGGGTGTAGGGCATGAGATTACACCCCTTCAAGCTGTAAACAACCTTATCCATACACTGCCACCCTAAATGGGAGACATGGGCATTGTGGTTAGGGACGAAATACTAGAGGGTAACCCTCCGAAGCACCTAGAAATGATTGAATTTGAGCTATACTATGAAACCTTCCTAGATAGGTGGATTTCTACTATCGAACCTAAACTTGAACCAGAGGAGGAGCCATATTATGAATCTGATTCGGAGCTAGGGGACGAGTCGAGGTATGTACCAGGACCAGAGGCAGATGCAGAGCATGAGCCAGTGTTCGAGCTAGACCCTGAGCTAGGAGATGACCAGGAATTTGAGCCAGAGTCATGTATATCGTCAGACGATGAAGCCCCTCCATCTAAACTACGTAGGATTCAAAATGATGGGACAAGTGAAGATGAAGACTAGCAACCTAGAGATGGTTCAGTTAAAAAAAATGTTTCCATTTCCCAAAATATTGTATTCAGTACTTAGAATAATCCGTATGTTTACTTCATCGCCTACAATTTAATCGTTCCTCATGTATTCTTGGATTTAAAATTTTATACAATTGAGTTTTTTTTTTCATTCAAATATATTGAGATGTTGACTATTTCTAAGATGAGATTTATTTGGTGGATTTAAATGAAATGGCCCGTCAACCAACACAATCTGCTATGTTTAAGGATTTGTTGAGAGTTGTGCAAGAACTTGGTAGGCAGCAAACACAAGTACCTCCCCATAATGCATAGACTAACTCCAACACCACGGGCTCAGTCGTGGAACAATTTCATCGTTACAAACCCCCTACCTTTAACGGGGTGGCTGACCCTTTGGTAGCCGAGGAATGGATAAGGGGTTTAGAACGTATCTTCAAGCACCTCTCCTGCATTGATATCCAAAAAGTTTTATGTGCGGAGTTCATGCTAATCGATGCAGCNAGGGGTTTAGAACGTATCTTCAAACACCTCTCCTGCAATGATACCGAAAAAGTTTTATGTGCGGAGATCATGCTAATCGATGCAGCGGGCCACTAGTGGGAGTTCGTTTTACACACTAAGAGTGAGGCACAACAATGCAACTTCACTTGGGAAAGTTTCAAAGAGGAGGTGATGGGAAAATATTTTCCACAAGCTTAGAGAGACCGTAAGGAAATAGAATTCCTGTAACTTAAGCAAGGAAGGATGACATTGGTTGATTATGAAATGAAATTCGAACAACTTTCTAGGTATGCGACACATCTGGTGGATACCGAGCAGAAGAAAGCTAGGAGATTCGAACTCGAACTACGCCCTGAAATTGGAGGAATCTTGGCATCGCATGAATTCACCACGCATAGATAGGTTCTGCAACAAGCTCATGCAATTTCAAATCGACTGGAAATTGATCGGACAGTTCAAGAAAGTAGTGAATTTTCAGGTAAAAGGAAATGGAATGGGCTAAACGAAGGTAAGGGAAATGAACAAAACAAGAGGGCTAGTTTTGAAAAGTGCTCAGGGTCAAACAAGTCGAATAATGTTCTTACTCCGTGTCCTAAGTGCAATAAGACCCATAGAGGTGAGAGTTGGTATGGAANTTTTGAAAAGTGGTCAGGGTCAAGCTAGCCGAATAATGTTCTTCCTCCATGTCCTAAGTGCAATAGGTCCCATATAGGCGAGTGCCGATATGGAATGAATGTGTGCTATCGTTGTAGAAAACATGCCATATTGCTACCAATTGCCATGAACCATTACCAAAACGAGATAATGAACAAAGCAAAAATGGGACAGCCAGAGTGTTTGCCTTAACCCAACGAGAAGCAATCGAGGATTAAGACATGATGGTAGGTATTCTATCAGTATCTAAAGTTCTTGCTTACGTTCTTATATACTCCGGGGATGCTCATTCCTTATTATTGCTGTTACTAGATATCGTACTGTTTGTGAAGAAGCCGTTAGTTACTACCCCATTAGACCATACACTTAATACCAATCGATGACTAGGACTCTTCACCTAGATTAGATAATTTCACGACCAAAATTAATTTAAGTAGGGAAGATTGTAACACTCCGAAAATTTACAAAATAAAATTAT